AATGTACAGAAATACTGAATCCCTATGTTTTGCACCTGGAACTAACAGTGTTGTAAGGTCAATTATGTTTAAAAAAAAAAAAAAAAGTAAAGCCACTCTTAGCTCGCTGGCCCTGGCTTGCCAAGCTCTGCACGAGGCAGCTTAGGCAGGCACACAGGTTCATTCTGTCTGTTTTGTGAAGTTCTCCCTGAAGGCACAGCTGCTTAGCTGATGGGCTTCTTTGAGGGTGAGTTGAGGAGAAGCCAGCTTCGCAGGGAGCTCTCTCAATGCCACAACTTGGTGGGATTTGCTCTGAGCATCAACCCTCATGCATGTTTTCCTGGTTTTCCCCAGAAAGCTCATTTGATTTCTGCAAAAGCAATGTTTATTTTACCCATGGGTAGTGAATGCCTGGTTACGTGGCCTAGGAGGTGAGGGGAGGGAGTGGAGCTTCCTGTACACAGATGCTCAATTAATCCCTGGTCCATGCCACTTCATTCATGCAGCTGGTCTCCCGGGCCACAGCCCCCTCCCTACATCCTCCAGGTGGCACCTCCCCCATCACCTCAGCAGACAACTCTTTCTTGCAACCAACTTCAGGAAGATAGAAAGCAACTTCTTATCCGCCAAAGGCTCTCTTCCTATTTTCTTCTTTGATGTGTCATTAACGTTTCTTATTTATTTACTCTCATGTTAATGAGAGGCTGGGGAAGGAGAGGACAAAATGAGTGCTTCAACAATGGTTCACTGACCATGAACACAGCCAGTCTTGTTTTCCCTCAAATTAACCTCGTGAGACATTTTACTCATGGCGCATGGGACGTCGGTACTGGTCCCCAGACCCGTCCCAGGGCAGCATGCACACAGATCTGTTTTTTTGCATCACGGCAAATGTTTTTGCTCACAGGTCAGCACTTTTCTCCCTCCCTTCTTGTGACCCTGGACACACAGTTATCTGGCTGGTGGCCAACCGACGGAGGCAAGTGTGTCAGTGCGTGACCTTGGAGTCTTGGACAAGAATGGCCTCATCTGCTGAAGCTCTAGCTCAGTTGATGGGATGAATTGAAACTAGGAAGACTGTCACTTTTTGGTTTAATACAAATGGAGCTTAGAATTTGCTGTGGTTTGAATGGTGGCCCCCCCCCGCCCGCAAAAGAGATGTCTGCTGGCAACATGTGTGAATGTGATGTTATCTGGAAAAAGGGTCTTTATAGATGTAATTAAGTTAGGGATCTGCGGGCCCTAAATCCAATGACAAGTGTTCTTAGAAGGGAAGAGAAGAAAGACCCAGAGGAGAAGGGGACGGGGCGAGGGAGGCAGAGATTGGAGTGATGCACCACAAGCCAAGCACCGGCAAGCATTGCCAGCTGCTCCTGGAGGTTAACACAGAATCAGAAGTCTACTGTGATTAGCACTCAGCACTTTCACTGCCATGGGCCGGGCTCAATCCCTGGTCGGGGAACTAGGATGCTGCAAGCCCCACGATGTGCACCCCCCAAAAGTCTACTGTGAATGACATAAGCAGTGCATCAGCACCCTCCACTGAAAACCAGGGTCCTAGTTGCCCATCTCCCCAGCTTCCCTCCCTCATCCTTTGTCCTCACATTTCCAGTGGTCACGAGCATTGCAGAGTTACAGGAATGGCTTAGTCCCCGCCAATAACAAAGAGGAAGGCCATTGCTCACCTTGACAATCTTCTGACACTTTGTAGTTGAATGTCGAAAGCAATTTTCTTTAAGGAACTTACAGATGACGTCAACAGCTTTCTTGATCTGATCTAGGAAAGTCCTGTTGGGCTGGAGAAAGTCCTTGATGAACCTGTCTAGAAGATGGCCTGGGGTCACGTAGAGCGGCACAGGCTGTGGAAGGAGCCCGCTGTGAGACGCCCCCTGCCAGCCGCGTGTCCCCCAGCCCCGCTTCCTCCCCTGCCTGCTCTGCTCCCCCATCTCTCCCTCTTGCTCTCAACTCTGCTGCTGGTACCTTTGTCATCCTGAGTTCTTGCATTGACATTCCCCAAGAGCATACCTGAGAGTTTCGGGTGGTGCCCAAGATCCCCCAGAAACAGAACCTCTCCTAGTTGCTCCTCCTCTTACCCTCTAGAAGGGATCTGGATCCTTCCCCCGACAGGTCTGTGAAGACCTGGCTCCAAATTACTGTCGGGTTTCCACTTTCTGTTCTGGGATCGTCCACAAATGGCCAGCACCACTTGGCTTCTCGGACTGCTCTGTTCCTTCCTTATTTTCCCATTTATTGTAGGTATTTTTGACTTCTGATCATCACATTATTCCTTTTTCAAGGTTCTATCAGCCTCTGTTAAACACCCTGTGCCCAGGTGGATTGGTTTCCCTGAACTGCCGTAACAAATCACGCTTCTAGACGTCTGCAATAAAAGTATAGGCAGGGCCATGCTCCCTCCAAAGGCTCTAGGGGAAATCCTTCCTTGTGTCTTCCAGCTTCTGGCACTTCACGGCCTTCCTTGTCTTGTGGCTGCATCACTCTGACCCCTGCCTCTGTTGTCACGTGGCTTTCTCCCTTCTGTGTCTGTGTCCCTGTGTGTCTTCTTGTAAGGGCACCAGTCATTGGATTCAGGGTCCACGCTGATCCAGGATGACCTCTTAACTGGTAATACCTGCAAAGACCCTACTTCCAAAGGAGGTCACATTCTGAGGATCCGGGTAGACATGAATTTTGCGGGACACTATTCAACCCTCCACACCAGGGGATGCTGTTCCCTCTAAGTGTGTTGAAGAGAGGGCTGTTCTGGAGTCAGAGGGGCTGTGTGTTCAGTCTGAAGGGACAGTTACCTGTTCTCTAATCCAATGGGACCGTGGAGGGTGGGACCTGCTCACTCCCTTGTACCTGTGGTCACTTTTGGAAGGAAACCATATTCTGATGTCTAAATGGGGTCTGACACCTGCATAAAAGTGAAGTTCTCTCCTCTTCAGTAGAAAACATCAGATGGGATGTGCTCCATGGACCACAGGTCATGACACCTCACCTGAGCATCTTTTCTTCCCTGTTCTGCATGCTCTGGTCAGGCCTCAGTCTGCAGAGGCAGCTTACTTCTCGCTAGTGGGAGGGAGAATAGTGATACCCGCCCCCCCCACACACACACAAAGTCCACGTCCTGCTCTATGACTATGTTACCTTATATGGAAAATGGGACTTTGCGGATATGATCAAATTTGTGTTGATAGATGTGCTTCTCCTTTGGGGGATGGGAGGGAAAAAACCAATGCATCTGGCCCTTCATTAGTTCTCCCATTTGGAGCCTCGCTTCTCGCTCTTGCCCCCAACGCCTGCTTCAGTAGAGCTCAGAGGTTGTCCCAGCATCCGCAGGGGTGACTGCCACCCACGTCTCTTGGGCTCTGCTCCATTTCATCTGTCACCACCTTCTCACCTGCTTTCTCTCTTGCAGAAACTAATTGAAATCTCTCATCTGCAGGTGCCCGCCTTTTCTCTTTGTTCAATTTTGCACTTTACTATCATTTTAATGGAAGGGGAGGTCCCTAATGGTGTGTTATAGATTGAATTGTGTCCCCCTGAAAGATATGTTGAAGTCCCAATCTCTAGGCCCTATGAATGTGACCTTATATGGAAATAGGGTCTTTGCAAACAGGTAATCAAGTTAAGACGAGGTCATTACTAATCTAGTACGGCTGGTGTCCTTATAAGAAGAGGAGAGAGACACAGAGACAGACATGCCTGGAGGGAGAACATTGTGAAGACACACAAGAGAAGGCCATGTGACAACAGAGGCAGAGATTGGAGTGTTGCTGCCACAAGCCACGGACTGCGAACGGCCACCAGAAGCTGGAAGAGGTGAGGAAGGACTTTTCCCTAGAGCCTTCAGAGGGAGCATGGCCCTGTCAACATCTTGATCTTGGATTTCTAGCCCCCAAAACTGTGAAAGAGTAAATTTCTGTTGCTTTAAGCCACCAGTGCATGGTGCTTTGTCATGGCACCTCTGGGAAACCAACTCACGGTGATCTTGGATGAGACTGCAGTCCGAGTATCGGGAGGGCCCTGCCTGCAGCAGGACACGAGCTATGTTGGAAAGCCCTCTCACCAGAACATTCCAGGACAGTCCAGGTGACTCGTTCAGCCTGAGAGAAGATAACCAGGTTTGAGCTTCTTGTTTTAGCAGCTGCCAGCAGGTGTTATCTCTGCTCACATTACTGGTTGGGTCAGTTGGATCCAAGATTACTGGCCTATGAATCTGATTAAAAAAAATCAGTTGGGAGAAGAAATCATCTTGGGGGAAAGAGGCCTGGACTGGGCATCTGGAAACCTGGATTTTACCTCCTGCAGTTCCTTCCAACTGCTGAAGTGTTCTGTCTAAGATGTCTAGCCTCTCTGGTCCTGGTGTTCTCTGTGTCTAGTGTTCTCTGCTTTACAGGCATGTTCCATTCATAACCTAATAAAACGGTCTCCTCTTTCTACTGATCCCTCCTCTCTTTGCCCCTTCCTTCTATGAGGGGAAGTGTTTGCTTTGGGACAAAATGTGACAATGGTTTCGAATGTGAAAAGCATCAAAGCGTCCCTCTTTCAGAGAGACCTCTCTTTGCCTCCCTACCCACTGCTGCTGGCATTCTTTTGGTGCATCCTTGGCTGGGAAAGACAGGGATGCACCCTCATTCTAAGGGGGTACAGCCTGGCATGTAGATAAAGAGGTAAGGAGAGAGGGCTGTGGGAAGCTTGGTACCTTGGGGATCGGAGGTGGCCCAGCAGGATGTTGTGGACGGTCTTATCCTCAAAGTTGTAGTTGACTGTCCAATAGACACATAGCTGCTCCTGCTTCCTGATAAGCTCCAGAACAGTCCTGATGCCTCAGCTATGTCAAAGTGTTCTGCTCCACACCCCTGTTCCCAGGCATAGACCGTAAGCAGCTCCAGCGCATACAGGGGCAGCAGGGATGAATCCTTCAGCTTTTCCTGGCACTGTGGAAGGAGAAAAGTGTAGCAGATAATTTGGAACCCAGTTCCGCCCATGCCAGGGGTCTGAAATCAAGAAACTAGAAGTCGGGGCTTCCCTGGTGGCACAGTGGTTGAGAGTTCGCCTGCCAATGCAGGGGACGCAAGTTTGTGCCCTGGTCCGGAAGGATCCCACATGCCGTGGAGCGGCTGGGCCCGTGAGCCGTGGCCGCTGAGCCTGTGCGTCTGAAGCCTGTGCTCCGCAACGGGAGAGGCCACAGCAGTGAGAGGCCCGCGTACCGCAAAAAAAACCTACTATGTTCCAGTTGCCCTTATATATCATTTAACTCGTACCAAAAAAAAAAAAAAAAAAAAAGAAACTAGAAGTCTATAGGAAGTCACTGTCCCCTGTCAATGATTGAAATGATATCATGGCTAAAATTCGATGGACTGACAACACCAAGTGTTGATAAGAATGTGGAGCACCTGAAATTGTCATACACTGCTGACAGGAGTGTGATTTGGTACAACCATTTGGGAAAACTATTTGGGTGTATTTACTAAAGTTATATATATATATATATATATATATTCCACAAATTTATTCATATATACATGTGTATATGTATACACATACACATATATATTCATATATGTATATATACACAGATAAGGTATATATAATGTATATATGTACAATGTGTGTATATATATAAGGTATATGTGTGTATGTGTATATATCTATATATACACACACACATACATACATATATAAAGTATACCTTATAGCACAGCAGTCTCCTGCATATTTACCCGAGAGGAATGACTGCTTAAATTCATAAAAAGACATGTAGAGGAATATCCACTGTAACCTAATTCATAATAGCCCCAATTTGGGAACGACCCACATGTCCCTCAGCAGTAGAATGCATCCATGTACAGTGTATTAATGCAATGGAATAGTACAAAACAATGAAGAACCACTACTCCCTGCAACAACACAGACAAACCTCTCAGGCAAAATATTGAGCAAAAGATGGCAAACACGAAGTACATGCAGTATGATTCCACTGACATCAAGTTTAAAAACAAGCAAAACTAATTTGTGGTACCAGATGCTAGTATAGTGGTTTGTTTGGGGGGAGCATGGACTGGGAGTGGGCATCCTGCTGGAGCGCAGGAGATGTGCCCTATTTTGATCTGGGTGTTGCCTGAAAGGCTATAAAAACACATTGAGCTGTATTCTTTTTTTTTTTTTCTTTGCCCACACGGCATGCGGGATCTTCGTTCTCCCACCAGGGTTGGAACCAGCACCCCCTGCGCTGCGAGGGCAGCATCTTAACCATGGGACCACCAGGAAATCCCTGAGCTGTATTCTTAACATTGTTGTACTTTACCCAACGTGAATTATCTCAGTAAAAGGGAAACGGATGATAGCAATAGACATGCAATTTGAAGTTTACCTTTTGACGCCAGTACTTTACCAAGAGGATCAAATCCTTCAGCTCGCTGGGGTGGCTGCTAAAAAACTTCTCCTGGAGTTCAGTGAAGCAGATTGAGAACTCACCGGGGCTGGCTTTCACCAAATCCAAGGATCTTTTGAGCTCTCGATAGGTGCAGAGGCTGGGCTTCTCACTTAAGCCTGGTGTGAAACAGAAACAGAACTTTTGGTGTTCATGGAACCTGGTCTGGGTGAGCCCACAAAGAAGGCTGGATGTGGTTTGATAGCACACGTTCACTGCTTCATCTGTAAGAGGACTGGTGCATTTGCATAAAAGGTGAGGGGTGGCTTGTCCTGCTAGATAATAAAATGTAGTTAGGCTAATATTTAGTAAAGAAAGTAATTAAAAAATTTCTCACTAGTTTACTTTTCTCCGAAAGCGACCATTATTGTTTCCGTCTAGGAAAGGTTATCTGTTTGGAATGTGTAGCTCTGCCGCTATCTGGTGGCAGCTTCTCGGTACTACATGTGAGGAAGAGCTGATTTCTCGTTCTCACATCATTCTTTGCGAGATGGAGTGAAGCCAGCAGAGGGCGCTCTGGCCTAATCTCCAGCCACCGTGCTCTGAACCAGAGGACAGAACATAGGATTTCCTAGGAATTCTGAGTCACACTCTGTCTCTTCACCTTGACTCCAGCCTTCCTTTGAGTCAGGCACGTATACTCAACCCTTATCATCCTAAAGGTCCTGCAAGTTAGCTGTTTCTAGCCTTGATCTTACAGTTGGCAGAAGTGGGTTAGTAGTAAGACCAGGATGAGAATTCAAGGCTGCCTACCTTGCATACTGGTGCATTTTTCTCTGCACTAGGTCACCTTTCTGTGAATGTAAGTCGTCAGGGTGTGTGTGTGTGTGTGTGTGTGTATGTGTGTCCACCTTGAAGGCACTGGGCCTGGGGCTTAAAAGACCTGGGCTTTTATTCTAGTTCTGTCAGTAACTGGCTGTGTGGCCCTGGACACATTCATTTCGTTCTGCTTCCTCACTTGTGTTTTTTTTTTTTTTTTTTTTTTTTTTTTTTGCAGTATGTGGGCCTCTCACTGCTGTGGCCTCTCCCGTTGCGGAGCACAGGCTCTGGACGCACAGGCTCAGCGCCCATGGCTCACGGGCCCAGCCGCTCCGCGGCATGTAGGATCTTCCCGGACCAGGGCACGAACCCATGTCCCCTGCTTTGGCTGGCGGACTCTCAATCACTGCGCCACCAGGGAAGCCCCTCACTTGTTTAATGAGGGGTTGAATTCTAGCTCTGGTATTTAAGTTTGTGATAATATATGTACCTATGCTTGAGACTAAGCTGTGACTATGCTTAGTCTCACCCATTCGATCAACCATCCATCCATCTATCCAGTCAACCATCCATCCATCCAAACCATCTGTCCATTCAAACAGTTGCCCGTGGAAGATCTTTGCCTTGATGTTGACCTGATTAGAGGCACATTCCAAATACCTGCTCCAGCTGAACTTCTCCCAGATGTTTGCCCCATCCTCTACCTCTAACCAGCATTTATTCTAGTCTAAATCCTCCAGTGTAGTCCACAGAACAGCAGCAATATCATGGCACTGGTTAGGAATATAGAATCCTGGACCCCAATTTCCTGAATCAGAACCTGCATTTTAACAAGTTTCTCAGGTGCTTTGTGTGCATGTCACAGTTTGAGATGCTCTACTCCAGAGTCTAGAACATTTCCTCCAAAGTCAACTAGGAGATAAGGGAGAAATTCTACAGAAGAGAGTAAGCTCAGGGTAGGAGGAATCTCCTCTTTTGAAAGTCAACGGTCTCTCGGGACTTTCCTGGTGGTCCAGTGGTTAAGACTCCGCACTTCCCCTGCAGCGGGTGCAGGTTCCATTCCTGGTAGGGGAACTAAGATCCTGCAAGCCACACAGTGAGAAAGAAAGAAAGAAAGAAAGAAAGAAAGAAAGAAAGAAAGAAAGAGAGGGAGGGAGGGAGGGAGGGAGGGAGGAAGGAAGGAAGGAAAGAAAGAAAGAAAGAAAGAAAGAAAGAAAGAAAGAAAGAAAGAAAGAAAGAAAGAAAGAAAGAAAGAAAGGAAAGAAAGGAAGGAAGAGAGAGAGAGAGAGGGAAAGAAAGAAATATTTATTCAGATGCCAGGCTATCTACCACCCCTTTTTCTGGCTTTGCTCTCTTGACAAGCCCCTCCAGACCTGAACCTCCACCCCGCTGCCACACACACACAGGGGGGCTCACCCAGAGCGTTGAAGGCGGGCAGCATCTCGAAAGTGATGCTCTGCTGTTTTGTGGGCAGCTGGATGGTGAGCTTGCCATTGATGCTCTGGATCTCCATCTTGGCTGCCAGCTTCATTGTGAGCCCACAGCGTTTCAATTGTGCCCAGATTTTGCTGAGGAGGTCATGTTGGCTTTTCTTCTGATCCTGGAATTGTTCAAGGCCACCGATGAAGATGACGAGGGTACCATCGGAGTTGCCCCTCAAGACCGTTCTCCAGCCACAGGAGCCACTCTGCCAGCAACAGAGAAGTGGATGTGAGACTCTGAACCCTTTGGGGTCGCAGGGCACCTCGACAGGCAGAAATATTTCTCACCTCAAGCAAAAGCCCCAAATGTCAACATAGTCTAAAAGCGGAGTGGCAGATGTTCATTTGTCCACCCAAAGAACTGAATCAGGATACCCATAGCAGCACTTTAAAAAAAAATAAATTTATTTATTTTATTATTTATTTATTATTTTTGGCTGTGTTGGGTCTTTGTTGCTGCGCATGGGGGCTTTCTCTAGTTGCGGCGAACGGGGGCTACTCTTCGTTGTGGTGCACCAGCTTCTCATTGCGGTGGCTTCTCTCGTGGTGCAGCACATGCTCTAGGCACGTGGGCTTCAGTAGCTGTGGCACGTGGGCTCAGTAGTTGTGGCACATGGACTTAGTCGCTCCATGGCATGTGGGATCTTCCCGAACCAGGGCTCCAACCCGTGTCCCCTGCACTGGCAGGTGGATTCTCAATCACTGCACCACCAGGGAAGCCCCATAGTAGCACTTTTCCTGCGAGCCCCAAACTGGAGGCAACTTGAATGGCCATCAGCAGTAGAATGGACAAATGTGGTGTATTCATACAGGGAACACATGACAGCAATGAAATGATAAACAACAGCTGCACGCAACAACATAAATTTCGTCAACAGATGGGTCAAAAAACCTCACACACTAAAGCCACACAGTGCATGATTTCTTTTATACAGGGTGACTAACCTGTCTGGTTTACCCTGGACATGCTCAGTTTTAGCACCAAGAGGCCCATGTCCCAGAAAACCCTTCAGTCCCAGGCAAACTGGATGGTTGGTCACTCTATACAAAGTTTAAAAATAGGCAAAACTAATCTATGCTATGCTGTCAGAAGTCAGGCGAGTGGTTGCCTGGGGTTGGGGGTAGTGACTGGATGGGGGGTTCAGGGGCTCTTGGGTCGTGGGTGGGAATATTTTATTTCTTGATCTGGGTGTAGGTTACACATGTATGTTGTTTGTGGCAATCCATCAGGCTGTACACTTAGATCAGTGCACTTTTTGTATGTATTATTAATATTTTATTTAGAAAAGAGTTAACAATATTGAGAGGTAGGATGGTATAGTGGTTAAGGGTGCATGCTCCCAAACAGATTACCTGAGCTTAAAACCCCAGGTCAGATGCCAACTATTAAATAACTTCTCCATGCTTCAATTTCCTCATCTGGGCCAAGGTAGGAGACACCAAGTGTTCAGGTATCTTTACTGCTAGGGCTAGTGGGTGTGTGTAAGGGCAGAGGCCAGAAAGCACTGTGACTACAGAGAAGTGGGATTCCGGTGCCGGAGAGCATGGGGTTTGTGGTGGGCATCCACAAGCCCCTCCCCACCCTAGGGTCCTGGGCCCTTCCCAGCACCCTTTCTTCCCCAAAGGTCCAGAATCTTCAGCCTCAACCCTGGGATTTGTGCCCATAGCACCAAACATTTCTAACTGATGTCAGCTCCCCACCCCTTGCTGTTGAGAAGACACAGAGCATCCTTGGGTAGTTTTACTGAAGTCTTGTAGACTCAGTTTACTCCTCTGTAAAGTGGGGAGGATAAAAACAATAAAAGTAACCACAGCTAGTTTACTGCACTAACTTTGTACCAAGCCCTGTGCAAGAACATTATGTGCTTAAGCCTCATAACACTTTGCAATGAGTATTATTTCTCTCCCATTTTAGAAATTCAGATACTGAGGCACAGAGAGGTTAAACAACCTGCCCTGGGTCACATAGTAGTAAGGGGTAGAACCGGCTCCCCAACCTGTGCTCTTAAACTCTACACCATATCCCAGCATCTCACTCGAGTGTGGGGCTAGACAAGATGATGTCTTGTGTGCCCAGGGCCCGGCACACGGTAGGTGCTCAGCACCAAGTTGCTCTGCCTTCTGGGTCCCAGAAGCCCTGACCCCAGCCTTCTACTCACTTTGGCCACACCGGTCACCAGGGGGAACTGCTCAGCTTCCTGCAGGACTGCACAGATGGTGTCCATGGTCTGGTCAATCTGTTTCTGACAGTCTTCAAAGGCCTCAGGTTGTCCTGGATAAACTCACCCAGTTTCTGGGCAGGCCATTCGTAGAGATGGGACTCCCAGTTTCCCATTGCTCTGGCTGGCTGCTGAGATGACAGCTAATGGCAGAGCTGGAGGCAGAAGAGAATGAGGAACTCCTATGCCCAGAGACTGAAACCGAAACTCATGTCTGGGGAAAAGGAAACTCACAGAACCTTCCCAGCCGGCTGCCTCAATCCAGGGTTTTGCCCTCCCCCAAGCTGTGATCAGCCTTTCAGCTGCTCTCAAGGAATACTCGCGGTTAAAAATGCAGCCTCCTGGGCTTCCCTGGTGGCGCAGTGGTTAAGAGTCTGCCTGCCGATGCAGGGGACACGGGTTTGTGCCCCGGTCCGGGAAGATCCCACATGCCGCAGAGCGGCTAGGCCTGTGAGCCATGGCCGATAAGCCTGCGTGTCCGGAGCCTGTGCTCCGCAACGGGAGAGGTCACAACAGTGAGAGGTCCGCGTACTGCAAAAAAAAAAGAAAAAACGCAGCCTCTGGAGCTGGACTATGAGGGCTTGATACATGCAACATCTGTGTCCTTGAGCACATTGCCAGTCCTTTTTGTGCCTTGATTTCCCCATCTATAAAATGGGGATGACAATGGTACCTGTCTCACAGGCTTAATGCAAGGATTAAAGACTTGCAAAGTGCTTAGAACAGGACCTGGCACATGGCTAGAGCTGTAAAGTGTTTGTTAAGCAAATAACTTCATAGGGGGCCAACGGTCATCTTTTTCTTTTTTTTTTCTTTCCTTTCTATTTTTGCTTTTCTTTTTTTTAATTGAAGTATAGCTGATTTACAATATTGTGTTAGCTTCAGTTATACAGCAAAGTGATTCAGTTATATCTATATCTATATATAGTTTTTTTAGATTATTTTCTCAGAGGTCATCTTTTGAGGCTCTTTCCCCTTCTCCCTGTTCCCAGTGGCCTGGGAACTCAGAGTTAATGAGAACAGCGAGGAGAAAGAGACCCAGAGAGGGCGCTGACTTGTTCAGGGACACACAGCAAGGCAAGGGCTCAGCCACTCGGGTTTTAGTTCTGCCACCGAGCAAACACAGGTCCCAAGAGGTCTGTGTCTGTGTGCCCAGTTCCTCAGCACACACATGGACACCTGCCAGGTTTCATCGGGCACTTACCCCACCCAGCAAGGAAGGAAAACAGGCCCAGGAGCACACAGGCCAGAGGGGAGACAGATGTGCAACTCTTGTGTCCAGGACCATGAAAATGAAACTCCCAGGCAGCTGCCACTGGCTTCCTCTGTAACACAGAAGGCAAACATCTCCAAGGTGGGACAGAAGCAGACCCCCTTCTCTGTTGTGATGATTAATTTTGTGTCAACTTGGCTAGGACCATGGTACTCAGATATTTGGTCAAACAGTCTTCTAGATCTTTTTTTTGAAGGTATTTTTGAGATGAGATCAACATTTAAATCAGTAAACTTCAAGGAAAGCAGATTACTCTCTATAATGTGGGTGGGCCTCATCCAATCAGGTGAAGGCATGAATAGAAAAAAGCCTGGGGACTTCCTTGGTGGCACAGTGGTTAAGAATCTGCCTGCCAATACAGGGGACACGGGTTTGAGCCCTGGTCCAGGAAGATCCCACATGCCACAGAGCAACTAAGCCCATGTGCCACACTACTGAGCCTGCGCTCTAGAGCCTGCATGCTGCAACTACTGAGCTTGCATGCTACAACTACTGAGCCTGTGCGCCTAGAGCCTGTGCTCCGCAACACGAGAAGCCACCACAATGAGAACCCTGTGCACCACAACGAAGAATAGCCCCTGCTCGCCGCAGCTAGAGAAAGCCTGTGAGCAGCAACAAGGACCCAGTGCAGCCAAAAATATCAATTAAAAAAAAAAGAAAAAAGAAAAAAGCCTGATCTCCCCCAAGGAAGAGGGAACTCTACCAGCAGATGCTTCCCTGGGTTTCCAGCCGGCCAGCCTACCCTGCAGAATTTGGACTTGGCTGGCCCCTGCAATGGCACAAGCCAATTCCTTAAAACAAATCTTTCTCTAAATCTAGATCTATAAAACCTATTAGTTCTGTTAACCTCAAAAGTAAAACAGCCAGTTATTTTACCAGAAAAATGGCTTTATTCGGGAACAGCAGAGAATTTCAATTTGGGACAAGCAGGCTATAGCAAAAGCCATAGGCAAGTCCAACAAACAAAGAAGAGGAACATTATTTTATAGAGAAAAAGGAGGAAGTTGTAAGGGGTTGTTTTGAACGAGAGTCCATTGGAGAAAAGCAAGAATTCAGGCTGATGACAGGTGATTGGCTTAGTTGCCGGGGTAGTCGGTTTCCTCTAAGAGATGCAATGTACATCTTTCCTGTCCAGGCCTGTCATTGACAGTTTTTTCCTGTTGATGCTTCTTGTTGGGGTCTGTTGATTGACTGTCTTTCCTATGACTGAATTACGGTGGTACTTGAGGTGTGTGAGAGCGCCCCCTTCTGGTCTCCTGACTCCACTTAAAATGAGGTTTCCCTTTATGTGTTCATTTTCACTGTTCAGTTTCTCTGGAGAAAGCTGATTATCACACCTGCGCATTAAGGGCCCTTCCCTGCCCTTATCTGACTTCTACTGTAACACCTAGAGGTAGGCTGGGTGGGCAGAGGTCATAAGCCTTCTTTTCCAGATAAGAACATAGAGGCTCAGAGAGTTGAAAAATTTGCCCAAGGTCACACAGCTTGTAAGTTGTCTGACTAGGTTCTAACTACCCGCTTTCCAAAGTCTATGCTTTATTTTTATTTTAAAAATATTTTATTTTGAAATCTTTTGAAACAAAAAGAACTCTCTCATATCCTTCATCCTGAAAATCACCACATTTGCTCCTCATTCTCTATGTATCAGTATCATTATTACTGAGCCGTTTGAGTGCATGTTGCAGATAACTGGGCAGAAGCCAAGAGATTTCCTGTATACCCCCCCCCCCCCCCCGCCTCCTCCCCCTCCCCCAGCCACACAGCCTTGCCCGCTACCAATATCCCCCAGCAGAGTGGGAGAGTGGGACACTTGTTACAAGTGATGAACCTTCATGGACACATCAGAATCACCCAGTCCCCTTTACTCTTAAATACTTCCATATGTATCCCCTAAGAATATGGGTATCTTGTTACATAAACACAGAATGACAACCCCATTCAGAATTGTACCTTTGATACAATGCTATCATCTCTTATAGCATATACAATGGATATATTCTTATATTCAATTTTTACCAGTTATTCCAATGTTGTTCTTTTTTTTTTTTTTTTTTTTTTTTTTATTGGGCATCGCGGAGCACAGGCTCCGGATGTGCAGGCCCAGCGGCCATGGCTCACAGGCCCAGTCGCTCCGCGGCATGTGGGATCCTCCCGGACCGGGGCACGAACCCGCGTCCCCTGCATCGGCAGGCGGACTCTCAACCACTGCGCCACCAGGGAAGCCCCAATGTTGTTCTTTATAGCAAACCCCCCTCCCCCAAATCTAGGATCATGTTACATTTAGATGTCATGTGTCAGAGATGGGTGTCCTGGGAAGCCACTGGGAAAGGGATGGTGACTTTCTATTGGGGGAATCTCTCAGTGTTCTAATGGTCCATCCTTGAAGTAGCTTGATGGGGCAGATTGAGCATCCCTCGTTTGTGGCCCATTTAGTTTGGCCCCAGGGACACCATATTTTATGACCAGCTCCTTAATTCTCTGTGGGTCAGGCCATCCTGACTGCCCCTCCACCCTACCACTCACGAAGAGAAGTGTGTCCACATCACGGGTAAGTGTTGTCTCATGGCCGCTATGATTTCGGGGTTCTACCATCCCCAGTGCTGTTAGGAGGCCTGTGACAGCATCTTCTATGGAGGAGGCCACCCGAGCTTCTTAGTGATGCTGAGTTCTCTCACTGGTGTATTCTTTATGGCCTTGGTAACGTTGTAGTCTCTGCTTTTCCACGGGAGATAATTTGGTGGCTTTTCTGGACTTATATAGCACATCCACCCAAGCATATCCACTTCCCTGACCTTTGAATCCCATCTTCCACCATCTCCCATGGGAATATCAGCATTTTGTTCTCACCCGGCAGAGGCTCTCACTTTTTCCATTCTAAGAGCCTGGCTAACAGCAACTCTGCACTGCCTCCTGGGGTCCTTGCTGGGGTGTGAAGTCCTGAATTCCAGGAGGGGACTTCCAAGTCAATAAACTCTTCCGCATCTGACCTGACACTGTAGCCCCTTGATCAAGTGCCCTCGGGGTCACTTCCACACACACCCACCTGACTTTTGCTGCTACACGCTGACCGGGTCTTCTGGCTGTTTGGGACATAGGTCCATCCCTCCCTCAGCAGGCCCAGCGCACCCCCGGCTGGGCTATTTTGGGACTCAACCCTACTCAGTCCTAGTGGGCAGGAGGGGAAGTGGGTGCCGGTCCTGCGGGGTCTCCTTGCAAGGGGGGAGGTGCTAGCTTTTAACAGAAGGGGTAGATGGGACATTTCTGAACCCCAGGTTCAGAGGAGTCTGGGGATTCAAGATTTTCAGGGGCTTCCACTCTTATGTCTGCAGTCTATGTGTCAGGGTCCCATTCTTTCCCAGGTAGGGTCTTGACCTTGCTTAGCAGGCCTGATTATTTTGAGAGTATATGACTCTTTTATACCAACTAGGATGGCAATAATCAAAATGATCATGAATTACAAAGTGTTGGCAAAGATGTGGAGAGACTGAACCCCCCATTTATTGCTGAGGGGGATGTAAATGGTGCAGCTGCTATGGGCTACAGCAAGGTGGTTCCTCAAATGGGGGTGCAGGGAGGGACTCCACCCTTATCTCCTTTGGCTAAACATTAGATCTGCCGGTTTTTGTTTCCCCGGAAGGAACTGCCCAGAATGGGGCTTTCTCTCCGGGAATCAAAAATGTATGACTCCGGTGCTCCAATTTTCATTCCAGCATTTCCGTCATCCCTTACACAGGTGCTCCTCTGTTTCCAAATCTCATGAATTTGGACTTGAACCAACAGCTCCCAATACCAGTGCCCCAGACTTTTCTATAACCTGGGCCGGCTGGCTTTGCACAAACTATCAGAGCTCAGCTGAAAGAAATACTTATTAAAATTTTTTGTGCAAGAAACGTTGCTTTATTGTTTCTTGTGGTCAAACAAACAGTACAAACTTATGGCCAAAAATTAATAAAATCTGAAAATTCAAAAAGTATCAAGATTAGCACATCTCGATTGGGTCCAGCTACATTTCAAGTGCTCAATAGTGACTACTGTATTACACAGGGCAGTTCTAAAACTTTTCCTGAACAACTAATCAGAGATGTGGACAAAGGGTGAACCAAAGATGTTTGTCTCAGGATTACCTGTAATTGAAACTTGGAAGGATCCTAGTCTATCCAACAGTACAATATTCCACAAAATGTCAGCTCCATGAGGCAGGGATTTTTGTCTGCTTTGCTCATTGCTATGTTCCAGTGCCCAGAACGATGCTTGGCACATAGCAGGTGCTCAATTAATATTTTAAGTTGAATCAACGAATACGCACACACACATACACACACACATATAATATGCAGATATACTTCTTGGTTCTGTGCCTTGCAGTTAATTAACACCCAACAAATGGTATTTGCTACTATTTTTGTTGTTATTGACAATAAAGTGGACCACAGCCCTCCCACCAGGTACAGAGAAGAGCGTGAAGACTGGGGTTCCTCTCTTTTGTCTGAGTCTCTCCTGCTGCCTCTCAGAGGACATTGTTGGAGAACAGGCTCTGGTGGGGAGGGAGCTGTGGGAAAATGCTATCTGTAGAAGAAGAGAGAGCACAGAATGGCGGGAAGGATGGGGGTCAGGAGACCTGGATTCTGGACCCAGGTCTGACACCAACTCATGGCCCTCTCGGGATTGAGGCCCCCCGCCCCGCCCCTAGAAATGAGAGGTCTGGCCCAGATGGCTCTGGAGACCTTGCCTTTAAGAGATTCTGCCGTTCAGAGGATGGCACATGTCCAGTTCTCTTCCACCTGGGGAGGGGCTTCTCCCTGGAATGTGAGTCTCGGAGAGGTTCCATAGCTCTGTCTAAAGTCATAGGCCTTGTACGTCGAGTCACTACGGTCTTGGGGCTGAAAGGGTGAAGCACATGGTCACACTGGAGAGCTGGGCCTCCCACCTTGGCACTGGGTCTCAGTGAACATTTATGGTGGACAGGTGGACATTGTGATGTGCCACCCGGATCCCCTTCGAGGAAAGACACACCCCCTCCTGAGTTGTCCATTCAGTGGCCGATCAATGTTAGGGTATAAAAGACCTGCCACCTCAGCCTTCTGCAGGACAACTCTGAAGGCCGTTGAAGCTCCAGGGCTCCCCAGCTGCACCTCTCCCTGTGCTGGTACCCGCTTAATTCCCCTCCTTTACACAGGTGTTGGATCCAATGGTCCTCCCCTGAAACATCCTGCACATAAACTTCATCCCAGAGTCTGTTTCCTAGGAAACCCATCTATGGCATCTTCAACCCTCCCCACCCCGGCATGAGAAAGATCTCTACTCTTGGAGTGGGAAGATCAGACCCTCAGCCCCTACTTAGCTGGGTGACATGCCCACGTCCTCAGCTGCTCTGAGTCGCTCATTTGTCACATGATATTGAGGGGGGAGGGGATACAAGGCAGGATGTTTAGCTCAGTGGAATAAACACTGGCGTTGGAGTCTACCGAATTAGGATTCCAGCTCTACCACTCCCTAGCTGAGTGGCCTTGAGCAGGTGACTTCACCTCTCTGAGCCTCCTTTTCTCATCTGCAAGATGGGAGTAGAAAACATATCTCATGGGGTGTTGTGAGGATTTAATGAAATAATGAAATTTAAGGGGCTTAGAACAGAACCTGAGCCCAAAGCAGGTATTTATTAAGTGCTGGTTGTTATTGTTTATTTTTCTTCTTAGTGGAATGAGCCAACTGGAGCTGTTAAAAATGTTACTTCCAGACAAGGAGGCATTAATTAAAGAATGAACTCTGGGTGAGGGATGTGAGAAGTCCAGGAGCTCTCTGTATGGGGCCAAAATGATTGTAAAATAGAGAGCACAGCCTGACACTATATGAATGTGAGTGACCTCTAGCAAGAGGCAATTTCTTAGGAAAGAATGGTCTCTATCTACATGCCCCATGCTGTGTGGAGGGGGTGGGGGAAGGACGGCAGGGAAGAAGCAGAAGGTCTCACCGACACATCCCAGGAGCCTACTGGAGACCCGTCCCATTTCTTAAAGCATGGGTAATTCAGCCAGGCTCTAGCTTCTTGTGCCAGCCGCTGCCAGCTACGTGGGTCTCCACCACCAACGTTTCCTGTAGGGTCAGCCGGGTCCAGAATCACAGGCCTGAAGAGCAATATTTAGAGAGAGAATAGGTGAGAAGCTGGGCTATGTCTGGGGGGTCTAGATGCTCCTGGAAGAGAAAAGTACCAGCCTGGTACAGGCTGGGACTCAGGGCAGCAGGAGGGGTCCAGCAGGGCACTGCTCCCTAGGGTGTGTCCTGGGTACCCTGCTCTATGGAACACAGTGAACAGAGGGAGGAGCCTTGCATTTGGGCTTTCATAGACTTCGGTTTGAATCTTACCTCTGCCCTTTATTAGGGGTGTGACCTTGGGCAGGTCTTTTGACCTCTCTAATCCTCAGTATCCTCATCTGTGAAATGGGGAGAATTGAACATCCCTACCTCAAAGCATGTTGTATGAGGATCTGGACAAGCATGTGAAATGCTCAGCACAGTAATTGGGACATAATAAGGGGACAATACATGGCAGTTACAATAATCATAATTTTTACTATGCTATTAGAGTGTGTTAGTCTTATAGCAAGCTCTTAGTTCCTGGGAGCAATTATTATTGTTGCTGCAGCTGTTGTTATTTTAGTTGAAATTTCAGCTGTTTCACTCATTTTTTCTTAAGGTTTGGACACGCTCTTTACCTTTCAGAATCTTGGTTAGTCATCTGTAAAGCAGGTAGCATAGTGCCAGCCTCACAGGGTTGCTTGCACATTGTTTTTAAAATTAGATGGAAAGGCTTCCCTGGTGGCGCAGTGGTGAAGAATCCACCTGCCAATTCAGGGGACATGGGTTCGATCCCTGGTCCGGGAAGATCCCACATGCTGCGGAGCAACTAAGCCCGTGCACCACAACTACTGAGCCTGCGCTCTAGAGCCTGTTCTCTGCAACAAGAGAAGCCTGTGCACTTCAACAAAGAGTAGTCCTTGCTCGATGCAGCTAGAGAAAGCCTGCACGCAGCAACGAGGACCCAAAGCAGCCAAAAATAAATATATAAATACATTTTTTTAATGCTTATAAAGAATTAGATGGTAGTAGTAAAGTGCCCAGCAGAATGATTAGTACCAGAAGATGATCAATAAATGTGGAACTCTCCCACTTCCTACATTTCCAAGGTGCCACAGCTGTAATCAGGGGTTCATTTATGTGGGGAGCTAAGCCATTTGGGGATAGAGTACCTGGGTTTTGCAAGTTGCCTTCTCAGGTATTGTTCAATAATAGGGTTTTCAAAGTTGTAATAGATTTTCCAGTAGATGCAAAGCTTCTGATGCTCCAGGACTAATTCTAAGACGGTCTGAAATCCCTGAGCTGTGCTGAATCTTGTTTCCATGCTTCCTTGCTCCCAAGCATAGACTGTCAGAAGCTCCAGGGCATACTGTGGGGGCAGCGGCTTCCCAAGCTTCTCCTTACACTGAGTAGAGGAAAAACAATCAGAAAAGTGGGTTTCTCTAGCTTTCGTGTAAAGCACATTTCTCATGGACCAAATTCAGCCTGCCACTTGTTTTTGTGTATAAAGTTTTCTGAGAGCAAATCCGCACCTATTCATTTATGTGTAGTTTATGGTGGCATTCATACTACAAAGGCATTGTTGAGTATTTGTGACAGAGACCGTGTGACTTATAAAGTCTAAAATATTTGCTAACTTGCCCTTTACGAAAAAGTTTACTGACCCCTGGTTAAAGGCTTGCACTCTGGATTCTGACTGATGTGGGTTTGAATCCTGGCTCCACCATTATCTGATTCTGAGCAGACAATGTAGACTCTTGGAGCCTTATTTTTTCTCATTTGCCAAGTGAATGGTAATAATTGCACCTTCCTCAGAAGGACACTATGAAAATTAACTGAAAGGAAGGACTTGTAGTGTTCCTAAGAGCTTAAAGAAGCAAACTTTTTTTTTTTTTTTCTGGAGGAAGATATTTAATCCAAAGCCTCCAACTCTTTCACAGATAACTTTCATGTACAATGACCATCACATAAGTATCCAGGCACACAAAGAAACAAGACACCCAGAGTGATGACTAACAAAAACAAAAAAGAAAATAGTAATAAATCCACAAAACTTTAAATATTGAAGATTTAAACACAGGCTTTAAAATAACTAGGAATATTATGTTCAAACATATAAGCATTTGAAATAGTAGGTACCTAGAAGCCATAAAAAGTAACATGGCAGACTTAAAAAAGAATGAAATAGAAATCCTAGAACAAAAATGACAAAAATGTAACTAATAGCTCAGTAGCATAGACATAGTTAAAGGAAAAATTAGTGATTGGAAGGTAAATTAGAAGAAACTATTCAGAATAAAGCATGGAGAGAGAAAAAGATGGAAAATGTAGAACAGGGGATAGAGATCTGGAAGAGAGAACGAGGAGGTCTAACATACGTTTTATGGGAGTTCTAAGAGGCAAGAAGAGAAAGGGAGAACGATAATATTTTAGGAGAATGGCTGTGAGTTTCCAATACTGATGAAGGATATCCACAGATTCAGGAATCCCAGTGAAGGACCCCATGAACCCCAAGCAGGACAAATAAAAAAGGAATCATCATTAAGACACATCAACTTGAAACCAAACAAAATCAAAGTAAAAGTGAAACATATAAATGCAGCCAGAGAAATAAGACAGATTACCTACAAAGGCACCACAGTGACACTGACAATTGATTTCTCACTAGCAACACTGGAAGATGGAATGATATATCCAATGTACCGAAATGCATATCAATCCAGCAAAAATACCTGACAGCAATGAAGGGAAAATCAAGACATTTGCAGACAAACAAAAACTGACATGTTTACTATCAGAAGACGGTCACCAAAAGAAATCTTAAAGGCCATATTTCAGGAAGAAGAAAAACAAGCCCAGATGGAAGGTGAGAGAGGTAGGATAGAATCGATAGTGAAGAAAGCAGTAAACACGTGGGTAGATTCAATGATCATTGGCTCTGTAAAACCATAATAATGCTTTGGGGCACTTGACAATATTGAGAGACTTAAAATATACAACAAAAGTAGGATGTAAGTTAAAGTTGGTGATGATGGGGCTAGAGGAGTTAAAGTATTGTACGATTCCTCAATTATTCTAGAAGAGAGAAGAGAGAAAAAGAGAAAGAGGGGAAGGAAGGAAGGAAGGGAGCGAGGGAGGGAGGGAGGGAGGGAGGAATTAAAGGAGAAAGAAGGAAATAAAGAGACAGTTTTTTGCTGAGTAGGACTGTCTTGCTCATTGTAAAACAACTATTATTCCTGGTGTCTTTCCACTCATTATCAGCAGCATCTTTATCCCACATCACAAAAATGCCTTTATGAAGCTTCAGTATGTCTTGGGGGGTAGTGTTGCACTTGTCAAGAACCACTTTTGTAAGTTCTAAAACGCTCAAGTGCCATGATCAAAATTCTTGCAAATCAAATTGAGATGTCTAGCAAATGAAGTGTTGTTTTTAAAGTAGGAAGTTTATCCTTAATTACTTTCTTTAACTCAATTTATTCATCTAAATATATATAGAATGCTTATTACATGTTAAGCAAACTCTTCAGTCTGAAGACCCAAATGCTGTTTTTGTTTTTGTTTTTGTTCTGCTGTTTATTAGCTGAAAGTGTCTTCTGACACTTAGTTTCTCTTTCTGTAAAAGGGGTTTAATAATAATACCCTTGACCAGGTCACAGAATCACCATGATGCTTAAATAAGATATGGGACATTTGAAAGTAAACAGAGATGTATATCACATCCACAAAATTTTAAATATGATGAATCTGGCATAAGCTTAGTGCACAATCCATGTTAGCTTTTATGATGTGTTTTCCTGTGGCAGCTCAGAGAAAGGACATTTATTAGGACCAACTATATGCCAGATATCATGGTATGTGATTTACTATTGCTGTGCCATGTTACTCTTTGCAAATGAGAAAACAGGAACTACAGAGATGTTAATTCACTTGTCCAAACCCAGACACCTAGGAAGTGAACAGAAGTGTGTGTGTGTGTGTGTGTGTGTGTGTGTGTGTGTGTGTGTGGTGATGGCGTGGGGACGTAGCACTCATTAATTCATCGAACAATTATTTTTTGAGCTCCGATTATGCACCAGGCACTGTTCTAGGTCCCTGGGATACAGCAGGGATTCAAACATATAAATCCTTCTGTTCCTGTACATTTTTAGTGGGGAGAGAGACAATAAACAAACAAATAAGTACATGCAAAGGCCCTAAGGCTGGAGTAGAGTTTCCCTCCTGGAGGATTAATGAAGAGGAAAGCATAGCCTGGGGGTGGTGGTGAGGGGGCAGAGACTGGGGCTCAGAGAGGTCGAGGGCAGATCCTGTGAGCTTCTCAAGATGACCTGGACCAGGGTGAGAGTGACACAGGAGGTGACGATGGATGAATTATACATATATTTTAATACAGGACCAACATCATTTGCTGACAGGTTGGATGGGGGTGTGTGTGGAGAAGTCAAGGATGACCCTTGGTTTTGTCCAGAGTAACAGGAAGGATGGAGTTGTGATTTCCTTTCCCTCCCAACTCCTCTCCCCTCCCCTCCCCTCCCTTCTTCCCCCTCCCGCTGCCTCATCCTTGCTTCCTCCCCACCCCTCCCCCTCCTCCTTCCCTCCCTCTATTCCACCCCTCCCTCCTCCTCTTGTCCTCACTCTCTCCCTCCTCCTCCTCCTCCTCCTCCTCCTCCTCCTCCTCCGCTCTCTGTCTGGATGGGACACGCCATACCTTTTGGTACCAGTGCTTCACAAGGCGGATGAGGCTCTTCAGCTTGGTTGGACGCTCCCTCAGGAAGGCTCGCTGCAGCTCCGTGAAGCAGGGGGAGAACTCGCCCTCTTTCCCCAGGGACTCGCACTCTTGGATAAGCTGGACGTAGACTTTAGGGTCAGGTCTGTAGCCTCTGGTCAACTGACCTGTTGGGAATTAATCCATAATGTGAAGATGTCAGCTTTTCTCTGAGTTTCTTTCAATCCCTCTGAGGAGACAAGCTCACTGACCACGGGGTGCAGTGGAAAGGTCAGCAGGCCCAGAGCCAGGAGGCCTGAGGACCGTCCCCAGTCCTCGCTACTCCCATCTCCACTGCCGTCACCCCATCCAAGCCAGCATCGTCTCTCACCTGGACACAGCGGAGATGGCAGCAGCCTCCTTCCTGGATCCTCCACAGCCCATTCTCTACCCAGCAGCCACAGAGGCCTTTTAAAACCTGATCCTTCCACTTCTTGCTTCCCAGGACATCTGAATAAAATCCAAAGTCCTCGCAGTGGCCCAGGAGGTTTGGTGTGACCTGTCTCCTGCCACCTCTGCCATCTCACCTCTTGCCTTGATCCCTTTGCTACTTACTCCCCTGGTCATTTCACTTCTTCAAATATGCCAAGCTCATTCCTGTCTCAGGGCCTTTGCACTTGCTGTTTCCTCTTCCTGGAGCCCCCAGATCTTCCCAGGTTTGGCTTCCTCTCATCCCTCCGGCCTCGGGTCAGCGGTCACCTCCCTTGTTGCCCTGTCTAAAAACTCCCTCTAAGCCCCATCATTCTCTTTTGAGTCACCATATTTAGTTTTTGTCACAACAAGTTATCCTTTCATTTATGGTATTTAAATTATTATTGTCAGGCTCCTGGAGAGAAGTTCCCTGTCTGTCTCATTTATGGCCATAGAACAGTCCCTTGCACATGGAAGGTACTCAGTGGAAATTGAGCCTCAGAGATGTACTGCTTCTTGTCCCAATGATCCTGCAGATTGTCTACAGATTCCAACCCTCAGATAAATTTGATGATATTTCCTTATGCTCTGGATAAAAGATGAAATTAACATACTGTGTTTACACCAGATATACGCTGCCTCATTTTTAGAAAGAGAAGATTCACACACTTTGCCAAGAGTAAAACTAGTAAGCTTGTCAGGTGTTCTATAAAAATATACTGCTCCCAAACTGTACCAATTTGTTGTTAATGTCACTGCAGTGGCTCAGTATGACCCTAAACATTCTTGCCCCCGAAGAGATGCTAGGATCTCCTCCGCACTTGAAGGGATGCCCTGTTTAATAAGACTCTCAAAGTGAGAGAGATTTCTGCTCAGAAACATGAAAAGAGAGCAGAAGAAGCCCTGACATAGGACAAAGGCTGAAACACCTTGTGGCTGAGAGTGCTCACCCAGGGCATCAAAAGCGGGCAGGACATCAAACTCCACCCACTCGTGGAGCTGAGGGGATCTAAGCACGAAGCTGAGAGCACGGGGATTCTTCCATTGCTGTTTCTGGACCTCAAATTTCACTTCAAATGTTTCCTCCCTTTGACAGGCTTCCAGCTGTCTCCTAATTTCCTCGATGAATTCTCCTCGGCGCTGAAGTTGTTCCTGAAAACTTTTAAGATTGGTGAGGAAGATGACGAGGTCAGCATCTGATCGGCCCCTGAGGGTTGTGCCTTTGCCTGAGGAGCCACCCTGAAAAAGGTGATGAGAATGAGAACTGATATTTATCATTGAGAAGAGCCTCCCTAAATAAAATGCTGAGAACAATCACTAACATTCTGAGTGCTAGCCACTGTTCTGAAGGCATTACCAGTCTTAACTCCTAGAATGCTCACAAGAATTCTGTGATTTAGCTACTATTATTATCTGTTCCCATTTTCCAGATGGGGAAACAGATGCTGAGAGAGATTATGTATCAGCCCAATCACACAGCTAGTAGGTGGCAGAGATGCAATTCAGTCTGTGTTCTTTACTCCCTGTTCTTTATGACCTTATATAATTAATACTGTAAACTGGCCCACGGCTTATTTTACTTGATCTGCAAGCCCTGCAAAGTACTGGGAATTATGGATGATGAAATTGAGGCACAGAGAGGTTAAGTGACTCGCCCAAGATTTCACAGCAGCAGGTGCTATCTGCTTTCAAAACTTATACTCTTAACCAGCTCATGAGTCTGCAGGAATGGTGAGTCCCCAGCCTGGTCGATGATTAGCAGATTGTTGATACAGCTGGGCTTCAGTTTGCCTATCTCTGTAGTGGACGTGACATAGGTGGTTTATAAACTTGACCTGGGCATTTGTTAAAAACTTACAGGTGGAGGCCCTCACCCCAGAAGCTACTTTCACAAGCTGTGGTTATAGTTTGGGCATGGATAAATCAGAAACCACCAGCCCCAGAGACCTCAACCTTTTGCTCTCTGTCTCTGTGGAAACACTTGCTCATTTAGCCTCCTTCTCCCCAGCCAGGCAGTTCTGGACTCACCTTCACAACTTTGGACACCCGAACAGGGTGGGGGGCCCATCGGAAACACCTCTCCTTCAGGAAACTGCAGATGATGTGGATGGCTTCATTGACCTGTGTGTAGAAATCCTCGTCTGGCAGGAGGTGGTCTTCGATGAACTTGTCTAGAGACTTGGCTGGGGTATCACTGAGCTCCATCATGATGCTGGGACAGGAGAGCCAGAGGGGGCAGAGCTGGCGGGGAAAACCTTTTAGCTTCTATTTCTTCTGCTGCCTGGGTCCAGGAAGCTGTTAGTTTCATTTCATCGGAAGGGAAGAGGTGTGCCCTGAGTCTGGGCTGCTGTTGGTTTCGTTTCCTTGGAAGGGAGGAGCTTTGCCTGAGTCTTTCTCTCTCAGTAAATCAAACATTCCTTTGATTCTGAACCCTGTTCAGTCTCCCAGCTCTTTCCTCCCGTATTCCAGAATTACTCCCCGCCTTTAACAGGCAACCTACAACATCTGGTCTTTCTTCAGACTGTACTCTGAAAAGGTACTTTTTAAGAGTACTTCACCCAAGAGTAATCATGAGTAAAAACACACTTTTGGTTTCCTTTTCCTCTTTTTTCGTTGCTGACAAAATTGTTTTATAGTCTCCTGTGATTTTTGCAGCAGTACATGTACATTGCAAACAGAAATGGTCAGAAAAATCCTAAAGCATAAAGTCCATCCCTGATCCTAAACCTGAAAGACTACAACTACTTTGGTGCAGATCTTTTCAGATGTTTTTCTAGGTTAACACACACATACACACAAACATAATTTTTTTCTCTCTCTCTTTTTTAATGGCATGACTATAATGGTTTTACTTTTTGATTAATAGACTATTTCTTAATGCATTTTTAAGTCGATAGAAAAATTGCGAGCTGTCCCTAGCTGTGCAGCTTTGAACACGAGTGTAACTGGGCATGCCTCAATGTCCCAATCTGTAGAGAGGGCAAACTTTTCTCACTCACAGAACTGCTTCTGAGGATAATCTGAAAGAAGAGACACAAAAGGGGATTTGAAAGGTATCAAATGCTGAGCAAAAATAAAGGACAGGGACTTCCCTGGCGGTCCAGTGGTTAAGACTTCGCTTTCCAGTGCAGGGGGTGCGGGTTCGCACCTGGAACAGTTCTTTGCTCAAAAAGATAAAAAGTTTTGGAAAGATGGAATTATGAAGTTGCCTGAAAAATGGAAGAAGGTAGTGGAACAAAAGGGTGATTACGTTGTTCAATAAAGTTCTTGGTAAAAATGAAAAATGGGTCTTTTCTTTTTACTTGAAAACCGAAGGTACTTTTTGGCCCACCCAACGTGATCTCCCCATTTTTTAGGGGCACCTTATTTTGGTAAGGCTCTCAAACTGCTCGGAAATATGAACAGAGAGAGAAAGGAGCCCTGATACAGGACAAAGGCTGAAACCCCATGTGGCTGGGAGGGTGGAAGGCAGGTAGTACATCAAACTGCACCCCACCCAACACTGTAAAGCAACTACACTCCAATAAAAGTTAATAAAAACGAAAAAAATAACTGCACCCCCTGGTGGGGCTAGGGCACCTGACCACGATGCTGAGTGCCCAGGGTGGCTCAGAGAACTCCACCCTCATATCTGTTGCTTCAACCTTAGTTCTTCCCAGTTTCATTTTCTCAGCAGGA